ATCCATGCCAGAACAAAACTGGGTATAAAGAAACTCAAAAAGAACATGAATTGGAGATGTTTGGGTGGTGTGTGTTGTTTTTTTTTAAACTGGCTTCTTATTTATGCAACAATAATTAAATTACGACCTGTAATTTACTTTGGCATTATTTTTTTCTGTCTTTAAAAGAATGAGAGGTATGTCAGAAATTGCATATACCCATGAAGAGAAGAGTTTTTCTGACTCTCAAATTGTAATAATCTGATTTGGAAAATTAATATTAAAGTCAAAAAGTTCAAGAAAAATGTTATTTTAAAAGTGCATCCCAGTACAGATGCAAAATTCCTCACAGGATCCTGAAGAGCATTGTGTATGTGTATAAACACGTGTGTGCTTACACAGACACACACATTCTGTTGGTCAACAGCAACTGTTGAAATGACAAAGCTCCAAAGTCCCGAGATTGTGCTGTTATCACTGATGATGCCAATTCACTAATATGTCTTGGCCAAACATGCCAAAAGCTGCCACTGATGACCCAAGGAAAATGTTAATTTTATCACCATTCAACTAAAAAGTTCTGGAAGCTGTAGCTGGCAATTTAGCAACAGTCTACGATGCTGCTTGTCAGGGACAGAAAGACAGAGACAGACAAGCTCTTAGAAGAGTGTGAATTAAAGGAAAGACCCTAAGGCCCAACATGTGGAAAGTGGTGCTCCTAAAGAAGTTAGGAATACGTTTGATGGTGAACTTCTTTAAGCTGTTTTGACATCATTTCATGTTTTAAACTGACCCAGAAGCGGGGACCGGAACTTGGTTCTCTGGCCCTTGGATCTTGCAGGCTTGATGAACCTTCCACTCTGCACCAAGGCACAACTTCAGCAAGAAGCAGGGCAAGTGCCATCACCTCCTCAGCCCAGCCTAATCACCAGCTTCATTTCAGTACCAGAACAGATAAAAGAATCTTCACACCAAGGCTGATGAGGAACCCCACAACGCATCAGGCTTTTCAGGGAACTTAAGACACCTTATCTGTGGATTTAAGGATGAGAAAAGCATTAAACTGAGCAAAGACCTGGCAAGAGGAAAGCAGTTTTACACCCATGCAGGAGCAGAAATTTAAGCACATGGGACAGTAAATCTTTACCTTTAAAATGACCTAGGAAACCAGGCAAAGGTTTTGTGACTTGTACCCTTGCATTTATATGTCTCAATTCTACCCAAGTCCCATCCTAGGACAGCAAAGGTTTTGCAAGTTGCACTTGTGCAGGCAGATAACCAGATTTCACTGGGTCTTATATGGTGGACCTATGCCTAAGTCTCCTGTGCAAAGGTAAAGAATGAAATTTCAGAGAAAACTCCCACAGACTAAGAACAAAAACCAGGCACGTGAGCAAGTTGTGCTTCATTAAATAAACTGGGAATCGCCCACAGCAATGCCAAACTAATGCACTCAGTCCTGCCCGACTTCTGAAGCTACAGAGGAGACCTGGGCCTGGGTATCACGCGAGTAGAAAACTACCTGGGAATTCCCAAGCTAAGAAGTTACACATGAACACTTTCTGAACATTAAAGCACACCCCACCCCACCAATAAAGGAGACTGCTTAATTGCTGTTGTTATGGATGGACAGAAATTGCACCAGAATAACTCATCCTCTATGGAGTTTTCTTATGCAAAAAACTTCTGCATCTGACAAGTGAAGAAAGTAGTCTCAAGAGCCTGAATATTTGTAAGGTTAAATGAACAGACTATGCTACTAAAAAAAAAAAAAAAAAAGCAGTATCCTATTCTTCCTAATCCAGCTGAGCACCAAACCAGGTTCCGCTCTGCCAGGCAGTCTCCAAAGAGCCCACAACGCTGACCACCAGCAACAACAAATTGAGCAGTATTTACCCGATTTGCTTGACTACATCCTTCCTTTCCCTGTCCCTATTGTCGTTCCCTCCAAACATCATTTAGTAGGTAAAGCCAGTGAACAGACAAGAAAAATTAGTTGCTTCCACAGATAGGTGCTTTTGCTACTGTATGTGTGATGTTATGGCACCGGACATAAAATAATGACGCTTTCACAACCACTATTCATTAGCTTCACTCATTTTACAGCATTTTCCAGAGAGAGAGGCTGGCCAAAGATAATTTGTTGAATTTTTTAATTTGTTAATTTGTCAAATTTGTTAACCGGTCAGTAGTCTGCTCTGAAAAGAGGAAGAAAACAGAACTAGAACTCAGTTTCACTTCTTAAGAAGGACAATCTCTCGCATAACTGAAAGACAGAAAAAAATGTTTCATCCAAAATAATCAGATAGAAATAATTAGGTCAGGAAGAAAATTATCAACAACACAATCTCACAAAAATAAAAGCTGTACTTCCTACAAAGACATGGGAAGTTAATTTTTAAGAACCAAACAAGTAGCCATCTTTAATGCATTTATTTCAACTGATACTTTAGAACAGCTCTTTATACCTCATTTTACTCAGGAAAAAAAAAAAAAAAAGGGGCAATCATATGAAAACAACAGCTAATCAGTTCAAAATCGTTACAGAATGGTTTTACTACCTACCATACACATCAATTTTGGTTTTGAACGATGACTCAGATCACTTACGAGACTCCACTTAAGAAAATGAGGAACCCCACCATCTCACTTCTCCCAAAATGAAAACCTTAGTGAGGTTTTTTTTTTTTTTGGCTTCTACATACTGATACACCAGTGAAAGGAATAACTAACCTTAAATGTGCATTAATCAGTGGCTACTCCTTTAACAAAAAAACAGTTAAGGCTATTGCATAAGAATAAAGTCCGTTATGTTTAAATTAAAGTTCCTTGTATTAGAGCATTCGTTAAATGTCATAAGTGTAGTACTCACAGAGCTTACGCCCATTCCCAGGCAGGTTTTTCCCTGCAGCCTTTTTGCTTTACCCAGTCAAGTTGTGTCATATTGCCTGCCACTCTAGTTGTCAAGAAGTTTCTAAATTACCTAAAGTTAGTATTTTCTTTCAGGGTCAACTTAAACTTTTTTTTGTCTATTTTTAATGAAAGGAATGGAACTGTGGCAAAGTGGGAGGAACCTGATAAAAAAAATAAATTCATATTCTTTCTTCCTTTCCATATAATCTGGACATCCATCACTGGATGAACAGACAAATGCACGTTCTGGTGGATAATATGAGGTTGGGTGCTTTAATTATTTAACTGCTCTTAGCCATTTTCCTCTGGCTAAATAACCTAGGAAATGGAATTGTTGTTTGTTGTATCTCAAATGACACGAGTTTGAACGGCTATTAGAAAATTTTTCAGTCCTGCAATGAATCCAATAGACTGTCTCATCTCATCACCATCCTCTTAGGAGAGTTAATTCCTACTAGTAAGTTGGCTGCAGATGAATTTGCAGCAGCCAAGTGCCCAAAACGGCACCTTTCAGCTGTCAATTAAAATGTGCTCTCTTTAAAGTCAGAGAGCCACGGCTTCGGTATTCCCCGAAGCCAGCTCTAGGCTGGCTTGGGTGCTACATAAGGAGGTATGATACTTCGGAAAACAGGGCATAATGCAGAGAGGTAAGAATTATTGGAGAACTAAGCCAGTAAGTCCACCCAGAGCCATAAGCAAAGCTACTATCACAGAATCACAGAATCACAGAATTTTCAGAGTTGGAAGGGACCTCTAGAGATCATCTAGTCCAACTCCCCTGCTAAAGCAGGATTGCCTAGAGCACATTACTCAGGACTGCATCCAGGCGGGTCTTGAAAATCTCCAGAGAAGGGGACTCCACCCCCTCCCTGGGCAGCCTGTGCCAGTGCTCTGTCACCCGAACTGTAAAGAAGTTTTTCCGTGTGTTGGAACAGAACTTCCTATGTTCCAACTTGCGCCCATTGCCCCTCGTCCTGTCACTGGGAACCACTGAAAAGAGTCTGGCTCCATCCTCCTTCAACCCACCCTTTAGATATTTGTAAGCAATAATAAGGTCTCCCCTCAGCCTTCTCTTCTCCAGGCTAAAGAGTCCCAGCTCTCTCAGCCTTTCCTCATAAGGGAGATGCTCCAATCCCTCAATCATCTTGGTTGCCCTTATCATCAGGGGTACAGCCCTGTTTGTTCCCTGCTGTATCAGTCCTACACCAGGCTGTCAAGACTGGACTGACCTAGACAACCGCTGCCAGTAAAATCCATCTGAAGTCCATGCGACATGGACCCACCTTCTTCTGTTCCACTGCCATGAAAACCTGTCCACCACCCCAGCTGCTACAGAGTAAACGTACTCTGTGACTTGAAGGAAAAGCACATCCAAATAATTATTTGACAATTTCAGAGCTCTTTTAATATGCAAAAGAACTAACCAAAACCAAGACTCTGCCTTCTTATCTCCAAGCCCCATAGATACAGCTAATGGAAACCGCAGTCTGTAGTCCTGTTAGTCATTTTGTTCTGAGTTCCACCTCTCAAACTGCACTCATGAATACACACTACTGTTTCGCAAATGAACAGATTCGAGTGTAAGGTTATGCTGAAAACTTGCCGTACGGGGTCTGCCATACTTCCTGTGACTCAATCCAGTGTCACAGATTTTCTGGCAATGGTCAAGTCTTGATCAATGAAGAAAAAACTCCACATTTAAGACTATTTTTTTAATTTTAAAAAGCTCCAAAAGTTTAACGGAAGAAGCAACTACTTCTGAAGAAAAAAACCACAGACAGTAGGAGAACATTTTCAAAACTTGCAATGGATCATAATTTAGTAAAAAATACACTAAAATTGATATATAAACTCATAGAATATTCAAGTTGAAAGGGACCTATAAGGATCATCGAGGCCAACTCACTGCTCCTCGCAGGAGCATAACTGTACATAATTTTACATAACTGTAAAAGACTTCAGTTTGCTTTTAAATACTCTTAAACTTTTAATTATGGCAATAAATAGGAACAATCAACGTGGTGTTAAGAAACTGTGCAGCGCAAGTAGATATGAAAGCTGTTGCACAATGTATCTGCTGAATCTCTTAGGACCCAAGGCTTCATATTTCAATTTTTGGCAGCGGATTCTAACAAGTCCTTTGCTTCATTTATTTTTGTTGCTAAGTAAGGTGATCCACCTGAGAAGAAAAAGGGGAAAGGAATACAATTTACACATCAGTATTACGTACCAAACTACTTCACTTGCAGGATCCCCTTATTACTCAATTTTATTAGCCACTCCTTCTTAAATAGATCCTTTTCATACAAGTGCTTAAAAATTGACACTGATATGAAGTAAACTAATTCATAAGGAAACATGAGAAATGTAATCAAAACCAAAGTCACTGAAGAATAATGCTGAATAATTTGTCTCAGAGAGAAGACTGAACTCTGAAATCACTTTACATCAGTGTGATTTAGACTTGCAGTACAATGTTGCTGCAAATGTATGCAAGGTCAGCTGTCCTGAACATTCATCCAAAGCTAACAGCTATTATTTCCACCCACCTCAAAAACTAAGAGGTAAAATTTTATAAATAATTTTGACAAAGAATTGTTAAGTGCATGTACATGCACACAGACACCCCAAGCCTCTCCTGTGCTAGATGCTTGGAATTACCAGCCAGAAACCATCGCATTAAAGCTATTTAAACATGGTACGCCTTCTAACTTCTAGTCCTGAACACTGTCATTGCTTTACGCTCCATCTAACAATCTGATTACAGTTCAGCGGTCTTTTTGTGTTTGTTTTTTTTTAACTCTCCCCTTGAGTGCCAACCATCTGCCTACAGACACCAAAAATAACATTACAAGGTCTGTATCAGTAACTTACCACTTACTCTAATACACCTATATTTTTTACATGAAAATACGATTCCAGCAGTACTGTGCACTGAATAGCCTTTTCTAAGGCATCTGTTCAATCATAATTTTTCATTCATTATTTCATTCATTCGATTCTATTTAGTTTATCAGAAAAGATAACGGTAGAAGAAACACGCAGAACTAGTTGTAGACACACGTGGCTAGGCTTGTTTAAAGATTTCTTTAGGACATTCCTGCAGGAATCCAAATCATTATTAAGTCATTTCATGTTGTAATAAAACAACTGGGAAAAGTAGCGGAGTTCTCTTGTTCATGTTTTAGTTTTGTTTGAATGTAGCCTTAATAGGTAAGACACACCGGGGGAAAGTGAGGCAGGGCAGGGGAAAGGTAGAGAATTGGCTACTGGAAAAAGGAATTTATTTTTTTCTTTTTTAAAAACCATTTGGCTTTTTAGCCAGGAATAGGATTTACTGCATTGAGCGTTGCTTCTTTTGAAGAGTAGACAAGAGGATCAAACAAGACTAAAAACTGCAATAAACAATGCATCTCAAGTAATTTTTAAATGTGCATTGATTTTCTACCTGTCTGGAGTGCAAGATCTTAAAGTAAATTCAAATCTGCTGGAAGTGTTTTCACTACATTTACATCCTTAAGTGTCATATTAATTTTGTAGCCCTCCAATGAGAGAAAATTCAATCTCATGATTGCCTAAGTGTTTGTTTATAATTAGGGCAAGTCCAAAAGGCTTCTCTCTTCCTCTTTTTCCATGAGCAAACATTCTTTCATAAAATTAGTAACTGATAAATTAACATACAATGCATCAATACAATAAACACTTTAAAAGTGAACTGTAAAGGTTAATAAGCAACCAGTTTAGCAGTGCTCACTGGGGATGTTATTATGCAAACTTCTACATATTTCTTACTTATTTATTTCTACTAATTCTCTCTTCAACATTTTGGATCTCAGGTAACATATGTAACTTTTCAATCTGTAATTATTGCCTTTCTTCTATCAACTCCAGCTGGTAAAACATTATTTTAACATAACATACTAATGTTGAGTATTATTTTTAAAACCACATCTGTGCTACCCACAGCCAGAAGAAATCAAGATATATACATAAGCAAACAAGTCTCTCTGTGATGCCACGTGTTCAAGATTACTCCAGGCCCTAGCTCTGCAGCTTAAGACATTACACAAGATGTTTTTCTTTTTTTTCTACGGCCATGCCAGAAGAGCTGCAGGGGCAGCACAGAGGCACAAATCCCTTCCAATGTGTGTTCCTACTGAGAAAATGCTCCGTCTTAATAGCACGCAGGAGGGCTCACTACATCCATCCAAACCTACACTGTGCCCAGCTGCAGATGCATTACAGCTGTAAAGGCGGGTCATTAAAATGTACGATCTTCATAACGAGAACTGCCTCTTTAGGTCTACTCAACATCCACACGGAGATTCATGGTTCTGGCTCATGTCTCTAAGTACTGCTACAATAAACTTAGAATTTCATTATCAAAAAATTTTGACCTAATAGGTACTCTAGTGGTTAAGAGGTCTCTGACCATCATAATGTATTGGAAATGCAGAAGAGCATTTCTTTTATATGTCTGTGCAGCTTATACATTATTAAAAGTGTAAAAAATGAAAGCATGAAATCAAATAAGGAGGACAACTTTCGCATTAAACTGAGGGATGAAGGCAGCAAAGAAAAGCATCGACTAAATACTCGCCGTGACCAGTGGTCACAGTTATTTTTTTGCATTTTCTTAAAATGGGGTGCTGGCAGGGAGCCCTGTAATTCTGTCAAAAAGACAGAAAAATGCTCCGATTTCCCCTTTTGACTTCTGAAATACAGTGCAACTCTTCACCATCTGTTATTTTAAAGTAGAAACAGCAATGAACATATGGGCTTTCTTTCTCAACCAGCTGTAGTGTAGTTAAAGTTATAATAATAGCCTTTCTGTAAGATAAATTTACATTAAAAACCTGGCCAGTAAAGCAACAGTGCCCAGCTTTACATTTTTCCAAGTGAACTCCAGGAAGTCTGAAATTCATCAATGATGTACCTAGTGACTGCAGAACATTTCCCTAAAAACCTACAGAAAGTTACTTTCATACACGTGACTGGTCCATCTCAGTTCAAAAGAGGAATGTCAGTTTAATGTAAAAACGTTGTAGGTGATTTTTTCTTATTTTTGACTAAGTTTTTCTAAAGTGTGGAACACTGGTGCCTGAGCTCATAGTTTTAACTGAAGCAGTGCAAGTCTAGAAAACAAACTTCACATGGTTCATAAAGCCTAGTTTATCTGAGAGAAGACACACAGAAGCTCAAGTCTATAAATAAACAACAAACATTTGCACTCAGTGTGGTTATTTATACAATTAGTAAACTTAAAGGATCACATTTAAGCCTCTTCTCTTTATAGCTTTGGTTAAGAAAATTAAGAATTATTTACCTTTATCAGGATGATTCAAAATCATGATTCTTCTATGGGCTGTTCTGATTTTGGCCTTGCCAGCAGATGGACTGCAAAAATAAATAGAAGTGCTTACCATAAATGCCACTGCACTCAGGTTATAAATTAGACAGTTTATACTGGCTTCAAAATAATTAAAACTTGAGATTTTCACCATCTTGTGGACAAAACATAAAACTGCATCTTTGAGGAAGTAACAATAACAAAGGCACACCAGACACACCGAGAAGAATATTTTTTAAAAGCCTGTGTATTTGAGACATATAAATATCTTTCAGGGTGGTGTTTTGTTTTTTTTTTTTTTAAAAGCAATACATCCACTCATTTAAAATAAACAATTTTGGAAAAAAAAAAAAAAAGGAAAAAACCCAGCAGCTCTAGGGTGTATCTAGCTGGTTATTCTTATAATTAAATGCAGAAAACACATTTTTTCTTCCTGGAAAATAAGTATTTATGTGACTAGTGAGAAAACAACAAATATTTAATATTATTACATTTTGTTCTACTGTAAATATTTTTATAGCTGCTATAAGTAATTCTTTCTGCTGGGGCATGAAAAAAACCTGTATTTATTATTTTTGCAAAGCTGTACAATGTGTTACATTCAGGGACACGCTGATTTACAAGTGCTACATAATGTTGTTTCCTTCAATGACAGATACATAAAATATGTACTTAGCCTAAATTAAATATGTACCTTACCAGACAAATAACCGCTTATGGATGCAGTATGCCAACCCAGTAAGGCTATCACACGCAAAAGGACAGTTTGAATGGTTTAGTTTTTCATAATTTGTTAGCATGCAGAAATGAGCAGTGTTTTCCACTTCAGGTGACTTCTTAATCAGTGATGATTCAATTAATTAAACTTTTTGTGGATACAGTTTGAATGCAAGGTATCAGCCTAACTACATTCCCGAGGTAAACAGCCTCTAATTATTATTCTGTCACAGGGAAATTAGGGTATGTTGCAAAAATAGTTCACAGAACTGCATAAGAAAAGAATACTTCAATGGAACAGGAAGTAACCCAGAAAGTAACAATTAAACAGCGGGTGAAAGGCCTTGAACTATATAAATACAAAAATGGAACGATTTGTTATCAGACAGCTAAAAATAACAAGAATCTATATTTTGACTGTAAAGCTCTTGTTTAATAACAAAAAAGGAAAGTTGATATACCACATTTAGAAACTTATACGGCCAAAGCCTAACTGTGAAAAAGTTGCAGTTGCGTATTATGGAAAATCATGCAGTTCTGCTCTGAGAAGCAACTGTGAAAAAGGTGTTTTACATCAAATTTGCTTAGTTTATGAGATATTGCTTATCCCACGGTCACACTGGTCTCTAAAGACGCTTAATCACTATAAAAACAACCTTTAATGTCAAAATCCCATTTTCACCTAACTGGTGCAGCATCACAAGTTATAACAACATCATGCTGCCTTCCAACATAACTGACTCCCCTCTGACTGCAAGTTCTATCACCTTGGTGGGACCAGTAAATACAGTGGAGGTCAGGGCTGATATTCAGGGGGACCTGGAGAGGCTGCAGGAATGGGCTGAGAGGGACCCTTCATGAAATTCAGCAAGGACAAAGGCAGAGCCCGGGGCCTGGGAAGGAAGAGCCCCTCGCAGCGCTACCGGCTGCAGAAGGTGGGGCTGGGGGGTGGCTCTGCTGAAAGGGACCCGGGGCACAGCAAGAACAAGAGCCCTGTACCCTGGCAGCGGAGAAGGACAACAGCCTCATGGGCTGTGTGAACAGGAGCATGGTCACTAGGTCAACAGAAGCAGCTATTCTTTCCTACTCGGCCAACCACATGTAGCTGCTGCATCAAATTTTGGGACCTCTGCACAGGAAAGACTGGCCAAGCGCAGCAGGTCCAGCAAAGGCCACCACAATGGTTGAGGGCTGGAGCACTCACTGTTTGAGGAGAGGCTAGGGGAACAGGGCTGGTCCACCCTGAAGAAGAGCATGCTGCCAGGGGACATCACAACAGCCCCTCAGTATCTACAGGGAGGTCATAAAGAATATGGGTCCAGGTTCTTCACAGTCATGCATGGTAGGAGTTTGAGAGAAAATGGGCACATATTGAAAAGGGAGGTGTGGACTGGACATAATACTTTTTTCACCCCTCAGACAGTCCAGCAGTGACACAGGTTGCCCAGAGAGGATGTGGATTCTCCATCCTTGGGAGTCTTTCAAGACCCACTGGATAAGGTCCTGAGCAACCTGCTCTGACCCCATAGGTGGTCCTGCTTTTAGCAGCAGGTACAACTAGAGACCTCTTGCAGTCCCTCCCAACTTGAATGGCCTTATAATCATATGATAAATCTGTGCAGTAAGCAATTTTTAAAAATAAAATAAAATAAAATATAAATAAAAACCCAAAGCCACAATGATCAAACCTTAAATACATTTGTGTTTGTACACTTCTACAGTGTACAATATGGTTTTTAATGTAATAGCCTAATATTTTTGTTATGTCATTTATATTTTAAGAATAATGATTTAAATATTTTTAACTAATGCATATATATATTGTACATTAACAAATAATTCAATATTTCCTATGGAAAGAACAAAGTTTCACAGAGGAAATGGTACAATACAGAACATTTTATTCATTTTTATCTGGAATTTTATCTTATGATTTTTAGACATATTTTCCAACTTCAGAAGTTCAGCATTAGGGATTTAATAGCTGTAAACCATTATACTTAGGACAGCTGTATTTTGTGAGCACATACTTTGTCTAATGTTAGGAAAACACTCCTAACATTTTCATCTCCCATGTCATCTCAGACATTCCCACATCTCTCCCATCAGCAGTTCCTTCTACAGGCTATACCAGTTTTTAATATTATTGCTGTTTTCATACTGAATTTCAGTAATCAATGCTGCTTCGTAACAACTAATGCAAGAACAATAAAACTTAAAATGAGTCAATATTTCCAATACAGTACTTTGTAGCTTTGGATACCTTTTACATAGTTTAAATACAAACAATGGACATGCATGTTTCTACCAAAACCCCTGCAATCTTACAAGACGGTTATTAAAGAATAACATTTGGAATGTGTAATGGGACATTCAGCACTTGAAATAATGAAGAAAGGCTTTGCCTCAAAATTTAATATGACTTGGAAGTGATGACACAGAGGACAAGTGTTACAATAATAAGATCTAGTTTGGGCATTTGTGCATATCCCTGGCATTTTCTGTAACACTTTAAAAATCACTGTTTTTTTTTTTTTAAGCATTTTTATATATATATATAAATATAAAATACAGTAAGCAGTGAGTTAAAACTGGTCTAGAAAAGTATGTTTAAACAATGTGAAAATTTCCTATAAAGATGTTAGCCATGCTTCTACAAAATTAAAGGCTCAATCCTTTAAACATTAAGAACTTTCCTCAAACCTGATTAAGTCTTGATATTTGCAAGAGACTGTGTAAACACAAGCAGTGTCACTGTTCCCAGTGCAGACTCAAGCTACTAAAATTAAAAATTAAAGGGGACCGATTTCAGATGCGATGAAACTTCAGACATCTACACGAGCAGTGTTCAGGCTAGGTACTGCAACTGTAAACACGCTTTAATAAAGTGCACTTTGCTATTCTGGAATACCACCGAATTTGCCCTTATAAAGTGAAAATGTTAATACATTATCAAACTGAAAGGCCAAAGGAATTATTTCTGGAAACCATTCCTATAAATCTCTTCTTCAGTGTGCAAGCATGAAATACTTCACATAAATGTAGTGTTTTATTTTACCATTTCTTAAAATGAATGCTAAATCTGCATAATTTTCATTATGTTAGAAGTAAACACAAATAGCACTCTGAACAGGACTTTAAGTCCTAGTTTTCATCATCTGAAATAATTTTTTCTGGGGATAATTAAAACCACCCTCTTTATCTCTTCGGGGTTTTTTTTGTTTTTTTTTAACCTTAAAATTCAGAACTGATCTAAACCACAAATAAGAAATATACTACCTAAGGTGAAATCTGCTTCTCTCATTTGGAAAGCCCTTAAACTCACCATTTGCTTTACAGAAAACACTAAAGGTGTGTGCTGCCATTGGCCATCCAAATGTTTTTGAAAAAATCCATAGGAAAAATACGTTGTATATTCAGCCTGGAAATTATTTCCCATACCTATTCTAAATGACAAGTCTCACCGAGTATTCTTGTTTAGAATATGCCACAATTTTTTAAATCCAAACAAATCGGAGTGGAGAAAGAAAAAAATAATATTACTGACTTTTGGAAAAAATAAGCAAAATTGATTTGTTTTCCTCATTTATTAATATAATCTACACTATTACTTATCTCAAGGGGTTTTTTAGAGACCAGGCCATGTGATCGCACTAATTAGCACAGTTTGTGCTATTCTGATAATTTCTAGAGCACCAATTCTCCACTGCAATATGTCACCGTGCCTTCCAGCCAAACACAAGTCGTGTGTTTTATTAGCATTTTACTGTTTGCTTTTTAGCTTAAGCAGAATATTAGAATGGTTTATAAGCCATTAGAAGTCTTTTTAAAAAAAAGTTACGATTTTGGCAAGAGTATTCCACATTCTCACAACATGCATTTTTTTCATTCAGTACTTACCAAACAAAAGCATACTAATGCAACACACCTACCTTACACCTAAAATAAGACCAGCTTCTCGCCTACTCATTTTCTGTTCAAATCCCCCTCTATAGTACGATGAAAGACTCTAAAAAGAAGAAAGGAATAACAAGCAATAATTAGTTTCATGTACAAGGTGCCAGGACCTAAATCGTATTTATATGACCTCATTCAGAGCATTACATTCATCTATAATTTATTTCTAAGGCATGGAATGACTACAAACCAGATACTATGAAAGGACTTCTCCTGAGTGTTAACACATACAAAAAAATGACTTAAAAATAACTATCCATGTTTTTACAATCTTCCACTGCTAATAAGAGATATTAATAGCTCCAACGATTAAAATCCTGCCTTCAGGCAAAAAAGCCCAGAATCAAAGTACATACTAGCATAGAGTGTGTTGAGGAGGGCAGGGAGGGAAAGGGGGAAACTTGTTTGGAACAGCTTTGGTATCAGCCCAATGGAAAATGGCAAAAGTCGAAATACTTTGGCATCCAATGAATTATGGACAATCACTCTGAAGTCCAGATATTTCTACAAAGACAGTAGGTAAAAACAATAACAAAAGGATAAGAACAGATAGATGTAATATACTGATGAAGAGTCAGTACGTTTTTTCACATGAGGGAATGTTTCTTCAAAAAGCTGTAACAAGAGTTCTTTGAAAGAAACCTGAAAAATACACAAAAAGGAAAAAAAAAAAAAAAGGCTTAGCATAAAACCACAACCTCTATTTCAGGAAATCACTGAGCTGGACAACACTGGAAAGCAGCAGAGTATATGGGGAAATCCTAACCAACTTTTGCCTTTACATCCTTCCCTAGACGCTGATGATGATTAGATACAGGATCTGGGGTTAGTTTTTTTTAAACTCATTGGCATGTGAGACTTTAACCACTGTTTTAAGAAGGGGAGAAAAAATATAAGTGGGAAAAAAACATTAAAAAGGAGATGGAGATGAGAGTAAATCATTACAACAATTAACTGTCATAGAGAATGGGTTGAAAGTATATATGTCAACCATAAATATATTTTAAAATAAAAAAAAAAAAGTTATCGAACCACCACCGATGGCCAGTCATGATCTCCTCAATGTAAATATGTGTATAAGAAGAATTAAGGAATAGCCCATCGCTAGGCAAATAATAGTCTAAGCTGCGCAAGTCCCAGAGGCAGCAGATGTAGCTCCAAGACAGGCTGCCTTTGGGAACTGGCAGACAGAAATCATTCAACAAGACTGAAGTTTTTTTCCTCAATGCAAAACCTATCAACTGGGGAAAAAAAGCTTCTTTTGTTGCTATCAAAGGGAAGTTTGGCCTGAGAGCTGAGATTATTTTTAAGTGTTCCTTTTACCCCCATGTAAAAATCTGTCTGGCCCTTAATAAAACACTTTTCTCGCTAAATATATCCATTCATATTCAGTGAGAATTTTGCCTTATGTTTACACAAACTCTCTCTTATGTAATTCCAAAAGCATTGAAGCATTTAAAGGGCTCTGTCTATGATATCTAAGCAAAGCCTTTAATTAAGCTTAGAAGCAACATTCACCCGAAAGCGTGGTTCAGAAATACTTCACCTACTGCTACCATGAAGTCACACACAACCACAGAAAAGATTTTTTGGTCTGTTGCTATGATCTGAAACTAATTTTATCTTTCTTCTTCCCACCCCAAACCATACCTGGTCGTGTTACAGTACTGGTTATTTTGTGTATCAAAGCTGAAGTAACTGAGGACGTGTCCTGCCTACAACAAAAATCTGTTGAGGAACCGCTGCTATAGCTCCAGGGTGACACAAAGAAGGTCCATGATAGTGCATGCCAACATTAGAGGTCAGAGTATGTAAGACTAAGGGAACGCACAGGGCTTCTCCAGTCCTGCGAGAGGAAATTATGCTAATAATTTAATGGCTACCAGATAACACCCTTGAGGAGGCAGAACTGCACAGAAATTTGCAATGATGCCAAACAATTACTACAGCCAGGAGAGAAGAGCACACTTTGATGTCCTCTGAAATATTTTCCAGAACTTCTCCCAAAGCAGCTTAGGCACAGTCAGAGTCCTAAAAAGGTTAATTCTTCTCTGCCCTTCAACTCTAGCATACAACTCTAATACAGGAGGACACTGGTTCACTATTCATGTAGAGAACAGCAATATTTGAATTATCTCTAACACAGCTCAACTCTGTTCTTGGTAGATTTCACTTAAAATACTACTTGAAATAAGAGAAGAGGGAAGGATGGCTATAGGCTTAAATTCAGAAATACTTTTTCATGTTTTTAAAGCCTACTTCCTCGACACTGTTCTAACCTTGGGAAGCCTTGATTTGGTTCACTTCCAAGAGGAATGAAAAAAGAAATTCTGTTGTCTGTACCCTTTGGAACAAAAGCAGAAACAGTTTGTTGAATTGGCCATCAAGAAAAAAAACATTTTCTTCTCAGAAGTAAAGCACGAATAGCAAGAATAATCAACTCTTAAAATAAGATCCTGACCCTACCAGAATTTAAAGCAAAGGGAAATTAGACATAGAAGTAATTTTTCCCATTGGTTAGAGTAAGGGGAAGAAACATTGAGTCTTCATTTTAGGAAACATCTTGGCAAATTTCTAGTTCCCTAATGAAACAACTTTTCCATGCTATTCAAATTAAAGCAATCTTTTTTTCCCTAGCTCTAAATTCTAAGTAAAGACTGCAATGAATGAAACAATACTCAAGATATTTTTCTGTTATGAGAACCCCTCGATGAGCGGGCAGTTCTAGACACTTGGCTATTTATTAACCCCAGCTACAGCAAACAAATTTTGTATTGAAAAAAATCAACAAAATGAGCTCTCCATTCCTTCATACTATTTGGGGGGAGGAACGGGGCTGTCATTTAATTTATTCCATATCCTTGTCTATTGTTACTGTTTAGCAACTTATGTAAGCAAATTCTGCTTCCTGAACAAATGCTGTTAGTAGGTTTGGGGCGGGGGTAGAACAGAAAATGGCTGGACTTTCTCTGCAAATGTCTATTCACTCTTGCAAATTTTCACAAAAGCAGTCAGCCAAGAAAACTCAATCCATTTAGCCTGTGACATCTTCAAGATACTTTTACTGGCATAGCACAGGAAAAGCATAATCACTGTTTCCATGCCAGGCAAGAGATATTCAAAACCCCATAACTGAGACCATAGATCATATTATATGAAGTAGTGATTTTTTCTGAAAACTCTATGTGTTTTTCTACCACCAATACAGCCCTCCACTGAAAAAGTAACAAACACTGGAAGGAAAAAAAAAATAATCCAGTAACTAACTACTTAGAAGCCGTGTTATATTATAACCTACAATTTGTTAAGATCAACTTAAACTTCCTTAACTTTAGTCCAAAAAAAAATGTGTAAAATGGACTGCAAATTGCATTATTATCTAGACTTTTTATTTTCAGTGAAGGACAAGAGAGATGGTCGCTACCCTTACCTCTCGATTCAGAAATCTGTGAGTCTGAGCAGAATCAGATCCAGTAAGGGAAACACAGTGCAAAAAAATCTTTCATGAAGTGGTATAGAAGACACCTTTTTCTTTTGGAACACAGAATTTTCAGGATCGTAGGACCTGTGTATTTTGACAGTTCATTTTGCCTAGAATTGCTGTTTCTATGTTCGATATCTTCTATCTGTCTTTCAACCTTCCATATCATTGATTCAACAAAGAAAGGTAATGAATGCTATTGAAATATTTCCCCTTTTTTTTTTATTTCAAATTTTAAGGAAATATTAACATAATTAACAGTATTAAGGTCTGTCTGAGGAAGAAAAGCCAAATGACTACTTAGTGCTATGTCCCTTCTACTGTTAACAGACTCTTGTCACTATGCACACAAACAAAACAGTGTCACTGGCATTTGTGACACCAGTAACAAAACTAAGCTTAAACTAAAAAAGCGTTTCTCTGGAAACGAGCATTATGACTTGTCATAGAGGAGAAATGACAATGTTTCCTTCTGTGCCTTTCTCCACTGAAAAAAAGAGATGGTAGAAAACCTCAAGACTAAATTACAGCAGCATTTACACTTCATATTTAAAAATATATATTTAACTGCCATACGTTGAAGTTAAACAAGAGGTAGAAATTCAGAATAAAACATAACACTTACTTGCCTTTACTTACTATTTTTGAATAAAGATGAGTGCAGTTGTTGACTGTACATGTTATTTATTTAGGTAAGTAAATAGAAAGTGTCAAATATTCAAGATACAGCAAGGAGGCATTTAAAATGATCGCTTCATAACTGCTCAACTTGACCATACCCAAGTAATTTATTAGTGAGCAGGAGGAAAGCATAAACAGCATCTGAATTACCTTGAGTGACTGCAACCAACGTGAATTATGACTTCTATTGCAAACGGGGGTGGGGAGTGGAGAACTGCAAATGGGGGGAGGAAGAGTGGGGCCTTACAGAGAGAACAAGCTGGCTTTTAAATTGGCAGCTGCTTCACAGTCTTTCAAAAAAAGGAGGTAATAAGAGAGAGGGTTTGATTCTAGAAAGTTAGAGTAACCACTGAAACTTACAGTTGCCAAGTTAGGCACCTCCAAACACCACAGGAAACCACCAAAGTAGCACTAACCCTCAGCACTAAACGTCACATGAGATGCTTTCTCCCGTAAGCACAGGCAGAAGTACGTACTAACTGCTTGATTTCCTTTGTCAGCATAGTTTAGAGGGTAATAGGTGTAAAGAAACTTGATGAAAGTGCTAATCCACAGATTATATGCAGCAGCTTCAAATTCCCCAAATAAAATCAAGTAAAGCCACTAAAATAAGAAGTTTGGACAATAAGCACTTACATAGGATCTTTGTACCTAAAAAAATATAAATAGGAAATAACTGATTGTTATTGGGAGAAGGAAAAAAAACTTGGCAAAAAAATACAATCCAAGAAAGCAGTAGCTGTAGAGTAGTAAAGAACAAATAATCTTGGCTAAGGATTATACAAGGGTCTTCAATTTGAAATATGACTGTAGAAGAAAATATTATTGTAACCTTTACAAATGTAAAGCTGACAAATACATACAGTCAGTGGTACACCAGAAGAGAGTGTTTTTACTGTATTCAGCAGATCTCATGTTACACTGAAAACTTGTATTTTCAAGTTCAGAAATAGAATAAAAAAAGAGAGATACTCTACAGGAGATCCACATACAACACTGGACTGTAAGGCAGGATGTGAAAGCAGACAGAGAATGCAACTCCAGGGACTAGGAACATTGAGAATACAGAAGCTCCTGGGTTGCTCTTTATGGTTGTTCATGAATTCCAGAGGACTCTGTAAGTCACTGTGGTAAAAACGAGATAGGCCTATAACGAGCTTGGCTCAGCTAGTATACCAGTACTGAGGGGTACAGTTTCCTAGGAACAGACACCTCTCTGTGCAGTAGCATGTCATATTTCAATGTGTTAAAAAGAATCACTGCCTGCTTTCTTATGTGAACATGTCTGAATTTAGATTCTCTAGCCTGTATCGACAAATGGATAGATGAAGAAATGCTGGAGTAAAACTGCTGGGGAGGGAGGGTGAAGATTGAAGCGCTCCCTGCTCTGAAACCACATGTCCTTATTGCTAGCTACCTCTAAGCAAGCCTGCAAGTCAGACTGTATCCACAGCATATGAAAGCAATTTAATTCGCAGTACCTAAAGTCCCCTCTGCTGTTTTGGCAGGCAACTTGGGAATATGTCAAAAAAATTACTTTGGAAAAAAAAAAAATTGGTGTTGGTCTCACAACAGCACTACAACAGAGGGACAGAGAGCAAAAACTGATCCAGGAGCACTGTTTCTGGCTGATAGATATCACAATAAAGAACAAGTGTGGGCCAGCCCCA